CCCCAAAACCCCAAAACCCCATGATCAATTATAGTTTTGATAAAGATGTAAAATTGAATTAAGCTATTAATTATTGATAAATTTGATCATTCTTATTCTTCTATGAAAATACATTTAAACTAGCTATCTATATAATCCAGAGTCTTATATACCTCCTTTTATTTTGATTGAAACCGAGATGGAGAGTAAAATGTCATCCTTTCTATAATTTACTGATCATTAATGATATGATCCCTTTAGTTTTACAATTTATATTAGCTCTCACAAATATCATGCTGCCTTAGCACAATCTTAGCTTCCTCCTCATTGAACTTTTTAATCTTTTAGCCATCCTTCCATAGTCCAAATTATTTCTTGGTTTTATCAATCAAAATTCCATAGCCATCTTACTTTCCATCAGACCACCATCCCTCATATTTCATACCGTTAAGCCAAGTGAAAATACCATAGCCATGCTTTTTATCATTCATATAAAACCCTTCATAAGTCTTGCCATCACTAAATGTGAATTTTCCAAATCCATGCATTAGATTATTCAAGAATTCCCCTTCATACTGCCTTTTGTCATTCCATTGGTTTCTGCCCTAAAACTTTTAATAGCTTATATTTACAATTCCATTAATCATATCATTTTCCCAATATCCTACAAAAACTGAACCATCTGGCCAAATTTACTTTCCAAGACCTGTCTTCTATCCCATAACGAACTCTCCATCGTAAGATCCCCCTGCTAGCCAAGTCTCAAGTCCTCTTCCATGTTACAAGTCATTCTGCCATTCTCCATTGTAGGTACCTCCTGAGTTTACACTGTTATATATTCCCTTTCCACAGGCTTTGTCTCTCTTCCATTATCCTTCATAAATATCTCCGATTGCATGAACAAATTTTCCGTAGCCATGAGCTCTGTTATCTTACCATTCACCATCATACTGCGCTCCATCTGGCCATCTAATTATCCCATATCCATCACGAAATCCTCCTTTCCATTCTCCTTTATACAAAGCTCCACTGCATTTATAAGTATACTCTAAATATTTCCTCTCTCTATTGGCTATATATTTCTTCTTTCTAGTAAGAGTCTCCCAAAATTCCATTTGCGTAAAGTACTTTCTTTTTACCTAAAATTTATATCAAGTTACATGTTTATTACCGCTTCAGTTTATCAACTAATGTAAGCTTTTCTTGCCATGAATGATCTCACTTTGGCTTAAATCTTAACGACAGACTTCAATTTCTTAACCATATCTGGTACTTACTAAGATTATTGAGATTATTGCATTTATTTTGAGTTACTGAGATTATTATTTGATTTTTTTTGGAACTGTTATGACTGGATTAGTTAATTATCAGGCTTTTTAACTTGCACAGATTACTTCACATTTTCTTAAGTATGAGTGTTAGGTATTGAAATAGGTTTCATAGGAGTTCCATATATGTTGTTTACTTCATCTTGTGAAATTCTTTTGGGATTAGTGTGCTATTTTCCTCTAAATGTATTAGTACTTGATCTAAAACTTGATTCTATGTCCAATTTCGATTCCTCTTTGATATGACTATTATTCTGATGTAAATTTTTTACCTATAGCTGCCATTCCTTGAATTTATTTATCTGAGATTATGATAGTTAATCGCTGTATCTATCAGATTAAAGCGATAAATTATTAGAATTTTTAGCCTAGTATTGTTCTGGCATCGGATTGTCTTAGCGATCATCAAATTCATTTTATTTGTCACTTTTCACACATTCGCAAGCTCCGCATTGAGAATTACCCATTTCAATTGAAATAAACTAACTAATTTATAAATTATTAAAAATTAACAATATAATAATAATGAAGTTAAGCAAGCAGGAAATTTTTTTGATTTTAGTCGTGCTTGGATTGAGTCAGGCGTAGACTATTACAGAGAAAGAAGAAAATAGTTTCTCTTGTGAAAAAATTCTAAATGCTGAGAGGGACTAGGATGCTTCAGATATTTTCATCGATTATTACAATAAGACTGAAGATCTAAACACTTTGTCAATTTCATAAGAGTAATTAATATAAAACTCATTAGCTCTTTTTAATAGTTGTATGAGGGGTTGTATAATGAGAAACTTTTATTCAACATCATAGTTACTCCTTAAATATTATTACTCTCAACACCCAGATCAAGTTGAAAGTAAATCCAATGATTATTAACAGATTAGAGGCTGAAATTGCAGTAAAAAGTGCAATAACATAAGTCTAGAATAAGCAAGATGAAATATTCAAGTTGTTCGAGGGAAAGACTAAAAGAACACTGACTATTTCTCCAGCTTTTGAATGGGCGTAGAGTATAGATCAAATATTTATAAACGCTAAATTTGCACACAGAATGAATGCACCTGGATGTTTAGATACTTATGATCACAACATTACATTCACTAACGACACTCTCAATATGACAGTACTATGCAGTCATGTAAGTATAATTAATAAGCAAATAGTACTAATTGACCACACGTGTTTAGGAAAACCTTGCCAAAAAGTACCAATTAGTCATCAAATTTTATGGTGAAATTGATCCAAACAATTCAACCTATGAATTTAACTCAGTAGGAAGAATCTCCTTTAAACTTTGGAAAAAATTTAGTGGAAGGTGGGATAGACTGCTGAATTCAAAAAAGAAAGAATTCAAAAATATGCAAACATGGTGGGACATGCAAGATCAGTTAGACCCTGAGCTCAATAAACATAAATCAATGGACGACTCACAAGTTGAGGGATTGCAGGATTGGATTTCATCTAATAGGATTAGAGAAAAGGAGACATTCGAAAATCTTAAGAAGGAATCTAAAAAGGTAAATTTTAAACAGTATTAATTAAGTTCATAGAGATAAAAGAAGGATAAACTGTAGCAAAAAGCAGAAGTTAAAAGCAATGGAATATGGGATTACCCACCTTTCAGCTGGCTGCTGTGAATTAAATTATAATTTAAATCATGAAACATTGGTAGCATGATAGTTTGATGGGGTTTTGGGGTTTTGGGGTTTTGGGG